GGCACATACAAACATACACACATAATAAAAAATAAAAGTAAATCTTTGTAAAGAATACCAATTTTTAAATAATCAGAGCTAAAAACAGTGTTATATTTGAGGTTTGCAAACCTCTCTGCCACCAGGTTCCCCAAGGATGGCTGGATTCTCACATGCTGGTCTGTTCAAACTGCTGGAACATCATGTCACTTACCCCTTCTGGAAACAAGCTAAACCGTGAGCTGACCTGAAAACAGCCCACAGATACATTTGGGCCTCACAGACTCCCCTCAGAGGGGTCCTCATTTTACAATTTAGGAAGTCCTGCTCTGGAAACAATTAGGCAATCTCGAGAAAGCAGCAGAGAGCTGTCAACACAGCAAGGAGGTAAGACATCCCAGAGGACTGGAGGCTGAGCTCAGAGCACGCCAGGGGCAGGAACTACAAGAGTGATTTTGGAGTCCATTTTCGGTTGTTCCCTGGCTCTGCCATGGGGTAACTATGTAGCTTAGCTCTGGCTGACCTGTTTGTCCTGCGAGAATGGCAGAGGTCTCCTCCCAGACTGCTGTGACCCCACTGGTGGCCACACCCACAGCTGTGGTAGATACCCTCCACCAGCATCCTGCTCAGGCAGGTCTCAGAGGTGGCTGCTGTACAGCTCTAGTCAGCACTTCCAACTTCCAACTTCTCGGTGGTTTTTAGAGCTCGGGCAGACATGGTTGGTGAGCCCAGGGTCAGAAGAAAGTTTTCATAGCACCTGTTCCCATCCAATACTGTCTGCAGTCTCCTGTCTAGCCCTTTGCTGGCTTCGAAGATTGAAAGGGAAGGTGTGTACTCCACAGCACACACAGTGCCCCCTCATTCATCACATTAATGAACCCAAGTTTCAGAGGCAGTTTCACTTCAAAGGACGGCAGTGGCTGTGGGAACAGAGGTGAGGGCTCTGGTGGAAGTCAGAAGGGGGTCATGAGGGAGGGGCACATGTATGTGTTTACAGAATTAATAAAATTAAGGTGTAAACAATTCTAAATCAAGTGTGGGCCTGCAGTGAGTGAGTGCCCCTTATTGGTTGAATATAAACGGGTGTGGGGGGATGCTGAATGGACAGGGCAGAGGTGAGATGGAGCATAAGGCTCTGGGGACCACAGGTGCAGCTTGTGAAGTCCCATATCTATGAATTTGAGGTTAGCCTGGGATTCAGGGTGTGACTATCTCAAAAAATAAACAAATGAGATAAAATAAGTATGAATGTACTGGCCAGGCAAGGACCAAGCAGGGTGGCAGGCAGGCACTAAGCAAGATAGCAGGTGGCTAAGGGGATTGACATACAGGGGAGCTGAAAGTTCTGAAGGAAAATGGCAATTTCTTCACTATCTCAGGAGGAAGTGGGAACCAACCTTGTGGCATTGGATTAAAATGGTACTAAGCCTTGCACTCTCCTAAGTATATAGATGTGTTAACATACATATGTAAATGTGTACTTAATTTCAACGTGAACACAGATGTGTCAGGTGTAGAGGACTGCAATAGCAATGAACACACTAGAGCAAATTTTTGTTTCTAAGCACTCTTCATGAAAGGGAACCAGCTCTCTGGTAGGGCTGTGGAAACTGCAGGTGTTTGGCATCTATTACTGTGCCTGGAGTAAGAAACTAGTCAGGGACATGGGTGTGGCACGACACCATAGCCAGCCTTAAGAAGGCACGTCATAGCAAAACCTGGCACAGCTCCAACATAGAAATGAGATTATATACTAAAACAGGAATTCTAATTCAGGAAAACCCAGATAGGCAGGGGAAAAAGAATGCAAGAACACAGGACTACTGAGGACAGGTCAGCCTTGACTAGTGCCTGGCCAGCCAATATAAAATAGCAAGATCTAGACTCATTCCTCACACCCAATTTGAAGAAACTGCCCATACTGAGCATGTAGACTGTCTTGCCTAAATAGCATAGCAACTATTTTTGCAGAGCACGCTGTATCTGGTATTGTAATGTGGATAACCAAAGCAATTCATTTCCTATGAGGAGCTTGAACATCCAGACTTTGGGAACCTCTGAGGGCCTAGAATCAACCCCTCATGGACATCACGAAAGACTACTTGCACAACACATGGGGGGCGTTACACAGATGAAGCCAGTGCAGGGCTAGAGATGGCAATACTCCACAACTCTAGCCATTGCAAGTCCAAGCTGGGAAGTTCTAGAGGAGGAAAGCCTTTATTAAAAGCAGTAAGAGAAGGAAACAGTTTGAGACAGGAGGCACAAGTCTGGATAACAGCTTTCTTAGTTCATGCTACTGAAGATGAGTTACAATGGAAAGGCCATACATGAGCTTCTTTGAATGCCAACACTCTCCACGCTTCGTGAAAACCTTGAGACCACTGCTTTGCCAATCTGACTACTGTGATAGAGCAGGCTCATTTGTCAGACTCCTTGCAGTTCTCATTAACAACAGTGATTTTCCTTGACAAGTTCAAGTCTTTGTTCCCTCCTTTCCCATTTCACCCTCCAAACTCCAGTCCCAGAAGACTGAAATGCAAACTGTTTGACTGTTCTGTTCTACACTTTCCTCACCTTGCATTGTGATTCCAGGTCTTAACAGATTTCCAGATGCACCCATTGACTTTTATCATGCCAGGTGCTTGTGATAGTGATGTCAGGGCTTAAGCTCATTATCTGACTTCACCAAGAACTACAAAGATATAAGGGAGTAAATTTAAAGCAGTCAGATGCCAGGAGGCCAACACACTAAGCATGCGATTCTCTGAGTGGAGATGCCAAGGATGATTCACAAAAAGCTTGTGATGGTCACATGGAAACCAAAGCCAAGAGAGGTGTCCAAGAATGCCAAGGAACCAAATGCACCCTAACACAGAAACCCTCACTGGTCAGTTTAGGACAGAGATGGCCTCAGCATTTTCTGTAAAGGGCCAGGAGTAATTTTTAGACTTTGTATGCTTTTCCAAGTGTTCCACAACAAACTTTAATAGCACTAAATTAGATAATGTAAACAAATGAGCATTGCTATTTGAATCAAATGACAATGAAATGTGAGCTGTAATTTTCACTTGATAAAACTTTTCATTTTTAAACTTCTAAAATGTGAAGACCACTTGTACCAGAGGAAACCACACAAATGATAAAACTGATTTAGCTTGTGTGGCTGTTGCCTGGCAGCCTCTTATTTAGAACAGCATACTAGAATAGATGCAGCCAGGAAATGCTTACTCCTTGCTTCAGAGAACACTCACTGCTGCCTTTTGGTTGGATTTTTATAGCAGCCTTAGGTGGGGTACGAGAAATACATGGAAAATGGTAATTCTATGTCATCTGTTAGTTTAACAGCTGTCATGAACCTGGATTCACACGCCATGAAGTAACCCAACTGTGTTCATGTGTTGGAGAAAAAGATCCAGGAGATTCCTAAACATGTATCTACCAGTTCTTGACGAGAACAAGGATGAACAACGATGCAAGTACTGTCAACCTCCATCTAAGCTTGTGAGTCACTTAAAAAGGAGAAATGCACTGTTGGAAGTATTGAAAATATTTTATGATCATTCTCTAGAATTCTAGCCATCTAGTACAGAAAAAAATTAGTATGGTGGAACATTTCAGTATTTTTAAACAATGAAACCCAGTATTTGACTAAAAGATGGTCAAAACATTTCACAAATATAAACTCAGGCTTTCTCAAGTTTTCTATAAAGCAGCTAAACAAAATATTCATGAAAAAGGTGACAGTATACCTCAAACGTAAGATTTGAAAGTCCAATAGTCACTTACACTGAGAGACTTACCAAAACTGGCTGTAAGTTAAACAGTAAGAGCACAAGGCACGACAGCACATTTCCTTTACCATCCATCTCAGCTGAGGAGGAAAAGATCAGCCTGGCCTGCCCTATCTTCTGGGAAATATCATTCCTACTATCTGCAAGCTGACTTGCTGACCAACGACAAAAGTTCTACACCAACTTCTGAGAAAAGCTGCGGCTACTATTCCTATAATCTCCCTGTTTGCAGTTTTCACTATCTTCTGAGCAGTAAGGTAGCAGACAGTGTCATAAAATGAGAACATTCCATTATCTGACAGGAAATGCACCACCCTCTTCAACTCACTGCACTACCTTGAAAGATGATGGCTGTACAAACGAATCCATGTTTTACTCTCCTGAGACACTATGCACAATCCGTGATCCATCAGAAAACATATAGGGGATACAACATCCAAATACCTACCATGGTTATGGATAAATGTGAAAATTAAACATGGTACACTGTGAAAGAAAATCATGGTTTCATTTATTTTTATGAAACAGATTACGAGTGCATGACGAAAAAGCTTAAGTCATCACCAAGGGGTGCTAAGGACATTGCAAGAGAATGCACAGGAGAGATCAGTGCAAGGTATCTTCTTCAGATGGTAGGGAAAACACTACTTCTTTCAACAGTCTTGTTTATATTCAGGAAAATAAAATTTAATTAGGCTCAGCAAGTAGACACCTGCCCCGTCTTTATTATCAAATAACAATGCTAATGAAAGATTTCCAAAGAACTGAGATGAAAATAATCCAAATAAAAGTCAGCACTGTGAGATTTTCTTTTAATATGCCATGAGATACCTTGATTGTGTATTTTCCAAAGTACTTTTCCAGCCACAGCTCCCAACCTTCCAAATTTTTTCTCCAGTCTTTAAATGTAGTAAGGATGCTATGATAGCTCCACCAACGTCCACTTTGAAAGCAATGTAATACTAATGGATTTGATGGTAACAAGTTCTTACCTAATAAAAGCATCTACAAGTACCAGAAACCCAATTTTGAAAGATTTGTGTTAATCTTTAACTGAATCAGCATTTTGTGGGTTAAAAAAAAATGCAGCAGTTTGACTCATGATTTGCTGATTAAACACATTTCTACTGAAGAAAGGGGGAGAGGGAGGAGAGTGGATGCTGCATTTCCTCACTGGCCCCAAAAGTGCTAATTTCACAAAGGGATACATCAAAAGCAAACATGCAATGGTTGTTTAAATCTTTTACTGCAATATAACAATGAAGTAAACAGTAATTAGACACCTACCAATTTTCCCCCCAAACAAAATGTAAACAGGAAAATAACTGCCTATACTGGTACAGCTTCTCAAATAATGTTAGAAGGGTCTCAACATTCAATCATCAGGAAATTTTAAAATAGCAATAATTATTTTCATTTTAAGAAAAAGTTCCCTTTCTACCCTCCCCACCCCCCAGCACTGAACATAAAAGAAACGGGCTTATGCATCAATTTCATATTTATGTGAAGCAGCAACAACAACCATCAATAATTTGGCATTTCTGTTTACAGTTGCTCCCGTTTTTTCCCCCCTCAATTTCAAAAAATCATTATCCAGTGTTGCCATGAAACAAAAGATTGTAGATTCTAGGTAGCAAAGATTCAGAAACCAATGTTAAGTCAAAGAAAAGAGAAAGCAGGGCATTACACTAAATTTCTGGATCTAGTACACTAAAAAGAGTGAAACCTAGGAAAAGTTGTCTACTGTTCATAGAAGAAATAAAGACCTGCAAAAGCTGATTTTTGGTTGAATAATATTTTACACTGTATGGATCTGCAGCATCTGCTAATTGAAGCAGACATGCACTGTATGTATCTCTGCCCTATATCCTAGCTCCCTCCCTCCCCACCCATCAACCTACTACCGTATACCAAATATTGTGGATATGAGCCCAAGTCATCCCAGATAATCCAGTGAACAAAGTTAGTGTAATGCACTGGTGTGAAGTGTGAGATACAAAAGTCCCTTCAATCTTCATCAAAGTTCTGCTGTAGAAGAAAATTGGCAGCCAAATTCTCATTCTTCTCACAAGCAAAATATGCTTGTATCACAAGTCCTTCAGGAAATCCTAATGCCTTTAACTGAAAGAAAAGGAAAAAAAATTAAGTTCAACCATCAATTACTGCACACCTAATTTACTTCATATACTGTGGATTCCAGCACAAATGCAACTGTACAATTTAAACAGTTAACACAAAGTGCTTGAGAATTTCTTGTTAAGTTCAGCCCTATTTAAATCTTGACTCATTGTTCAACACTAAAGGGGGTAGCTGGAATATTTAACAACCACCTAAAATTAAAAAACAACACAAAAACAACAACAACAAAAACCAGTCCTTTATTCTGCGTTAAAGCTATTAGACTGGCAAGGTACCATACGAAAGCACTTTCTGGCATCAGAGATAGACCAGGCAAATCATAATCAAAAGACAGCTGGAATGGCTATACTGTACTAGACGAAGTAGATTAAAATCCAATCTTCTCCCTAAACTAACCCAAAAGTAACCAAAAGCAAGTATGATTACTTAAAATGACCAGAAAAAAAAAAAAAAAGAAAGAAAGAAATGGGAAGATTCAAACTGCTAAAACTAAAGAATAAAATGTTAGAATATTGCAACTTTTTTCAAAAAATAAAAACTATATGAAACTAAGTAAGCAAGCAGAAAATTCCCAAAGAAAACTAAGGCTTAGATGGCTTTGCTTCCAGTCATTTAAATAATTAAAACCCATTCTTAATTTCTTCCAAACAAAAGGGAGGATTGCCCCTCTATTCATTCTATGGAGCCACAATTCCCCAATGTCAAAATGAAACAAAGACACTAAAAGGAAACTACAGACTAATATTCATTATGAATATAGGTATAAAAAGCCTTTAACCAAACACCAGCAGATGGAATCAAGCAGCATATATAACAGGTTACATTGAGACCACTGGGATTTACAACAGGATGAAAGGTTGATTCAACATACAAAGACCAGCATAATAAAGCATATTTTTAAGAATAAAAAGTAATAATTCGAGTAACCCTAAAAAAAACATTTGACAAATCTACCACTCCTTTATGACGAAAGCTCAAACTGAAAAAGAGACAGGAACTTCTTTAACCATCTAAAAGGCATCTACAAACACCCCATGGCTAATACGGCATTGCTTTCCCCCAAGACCAGGAAAAGAAAAGGATGTTGGCTCTTCCCATTTCTATTCAACAATATATTAAGTTTTAGGGAAGGTAGTCAGACAAAAAGGAAAAAAAAAATGCATTCTGGATGTGAAGATAAACTCCATAACTGCAGACTATATGACCTTACATATCAGGAAGGTTTTTAAGATCAAAGACAAATACACGAAATTAAATTTTATTTTTAAATATTAAATAAATCTATTTTTAATATTTTGAGAATTTCAAAAAATTTAAATAGTATGTTTATGCAACGAGCAATGAAGAGAACAATTCTCAATAGCATCAAAAAGAGTAAGTTTTCGGGAATAAACTTGAAAGTAATGCAACATTTTATCCTGAAGCCACAGAACAGCATTGAAAAGAGCATCTTAAAGACTCTACTAAGTGGAAAGACATCCATGTTCAAGGCTTGCTAAGAATCCAGGCTGGTCTCAAACTCAAAATCCTCCTAGCTTTGTCTGCCAGGTGATGGGATTACATGACTGCTCCAACACATCATCAGATTTAAAGATTATTAACATGAGTCTCAATGGGCATGGAGGCGCATGTCTATAATCCTAGCATTTGGGAATGGAGGCAGAAAAATCAGTAATTCAAGGTCTAGCTACATACCAAGTTCAAGGCCAGCCTGGGCTACATAGAAAGCCCTTGCCTCAAATTAATTAACTAATTAATCAATTAATCAATTAATTTCTGGACAATGGCAATGTTCCTCAAATCCATCTCTGGGGTGAGCAAAGAGCTCCAAACTAATGTCATCTTTTAAAAATGTTGCCTCCAGAAACTAGACAAGCTGACCCTAAAATTTAAACAGAAATACAAGGGCTCTAGGAACAGCCACAACAATTTTAGAAACAACAAAATTGGAATACTCAACACTCATTTTATAACCTCCTAGACACTTCAGTAACAAAGACAATTAGGCACTGAAGATGAAGAGAAATATATACATCAATGGATTAGAATTGAAGAGTCCAGAAATAAACCCCTAAGTCTACACACATGGATCAACTGAGGTTTTTTAAAATAAGAAGCCAAGATAACTTGTTAAAAAGTTTTCTGAACAAATGGTGCTGAATGCATGGTCTATATGCAAAAGGACTTATTGTCACAGCTTACACCCAACAAAAAAGGAACGCAAAATAGATCACACACTTACACGTAGGAGCTATCTGTAAATTCCTTAAAGAAAGAATTAGGAGTAAACCTATGTTAACCTGACTAGGGAATGTTCTCTTAGATGACACCAAAAAGACAAAATCAGAAGGGGGTGAGGGAACTATAATGCAGAAATGAAAAACCAATTAACCTTAACTTCAAAAGAAAAAAACTGCTATAAAGTAACTGGGGAAAGCCTTTTTATAGCTTTATTTTAGAGAGGAAAAAAAAAATCATCCCAATATGCAAAGTATCTTTTATGAAATACCTGATTACTTTATCTGATTACCATCTCAAAATAATTTGTAACTGGTCCACATGGTGAGGAACTAAGAGTTAAGATAGCTGGTACCTGATGTTTACGGTACAGCTCTTAGGTAATTCACGTAGGTATCAAACACATTTTAGGGACAATAGTGAAGTAAAATTTGAAATATGACGAATAATTCTGAATTGGCTATATGCTTTAAATTTTTTTTTCTTAAATTTTACAACATCAATGAAAACTTTAGTCTTGACTACGTACACCTGACTGATGCCAGGAAAGGTACTTTATTGCCAGTCTCATCAGTCTCATGGCTTTTCAAAGGACAATGTAAGGGACTGGGCACCACGCAGCTCCTGAGCGTCTGAAACGCTGCTGGTGTGACTAGGGAACTGAGATATTACTTTTATTTAAAAACTCACCCGTTCTATAGCTTCTTTTTCCTGAGGTGTTACTTGAATGTAGTTCATGTGCCCACTTCCAGCTTCTGCAATTCCTCCACTGCCACCTCCGCCACCACCGCCGCTGCTACTGCCGCCGCTGCCACCACCACCGCCACCGCCTCCTCCTCCGCCTCCCCCTCCCTGACCACCAGCTTCCTGAACTGGTTCATTTAGCATCTGAATAAAATGCTCCTGGTGTTGGCTAATTTGCTGTGGACAAAGAAAATAATATACTGATATTTAAGTGTTGTCAGGAAAACAGCAATCCTAAATACAAGTAAGAAAAATCTAGCTCAGTTATGGTGATTTATTTCACACTATAATCTCAGCACTTGGGAGGCTTAGGCAGAAGGATCACTGTTGTGTCTGAGGGCAGGCTGAGCAAGAGTAAATATAAATCCCAGGCCAGCTCAGTATAAAAAAATTTAAAAAAAAAAAGAAGAAAATAAAAAGATCTCTTATAATATTTAAGTAATTCAATTGTTCTGAAAGGTAAACAGTGAAGAGAATGAAAATTCTTTAAAAAATAACCCACTCACAAAAATCAACAGTAAAAAGCTACCATGGGACTATAAACAGACACAGAACTCATTCTTTATGCAATACTTTACCTTCTATACTAGTAGGCAATACTGTTCTATACAAAATCAAGTATTTCCTAAGCTAAGCATGAAGTAAGCCCACAGTTAAGTTTTCTAACAGACAATATCCCACTGATAGCAAGTTTATGAAATTTAATTTTTATGTGTTTGAGCATTCTACCTGCATGTATGTAAGTGCACCTGTGTCATGCAGCCTGCCGAGGCCAGAAGAGGATGTTGGATCCCCTGGGGTGTGGGTGCTGTGACCTTAACCCAGGCTCTCTGCAAGAGCAGCCAATGTTCTTAACCACTGAGCTATCTCTCCAGTCCCAAATGAAAAGCAATTTAGTTTCATTGTTAAACACTTTCTTAACTTCTGTAATATGTTAATGTGTCCTGGAATCTGTAGGAAGAAAATAAAATCTTTTCAAACTTCTTAGTTGACCAACATAAACCAACCTAATCTAATCCCAACTCTTTTTTTTTTTCAGTACAACTAGAGCATTAACACTGCAAGTACAGCTTTGATGAGGGATGTTCATGAGCCTTTTCAAAAATAGGGTGGCATAGTACGGAGTCCTGGGTTTAATCTCTAGTACTAAAAAACAAAACAAAACCATTCCAACTCCATTTACCTGCAGTAATTGAGGATTCTCCCGACCTATCTGTTGTAGCAACGCTGGAAGCAGGGAAGGATTCTGTTGGATAATTTGTCTCATCTGTTGAAACTGGGGCTGATTCCGTAAAAATTCAAGAGGATGCCCTAAAACACATGCAAACAGAAAACACTACAATCAAGTGAAAAGAGATTTGAGTTGGCAAGTGTGGTAAGATAAAACAAGTAACAAAGCCTCCAAACTATCAATATGCCAAGTTTACATTACAGAAGCTTTACCTATTAGCATAGAGAACACCTTAAGAACCAAGCTCTCCTGCAAACATCCTGAGTACTATCACCGAAAAACACTAAGAACTTGTGTCCTGTATTAAATTATTCTAGTTACCAAAACATATGCATGTACACCAAAATCAACAACAACAAAATCCACTCTTTCTGGAATATGGTGATACACATCCGTTAAGGCCAGAGAAACACTGGAAGAAAGGCGTAGTTAGGTGAGCCTGTTATTGTGAACAATGTAGTCTAATTAAGCAAACTAAGATGGCTATGAAACCTTCAGGCCATATAAACTTACGAGACCACACCATTACATGGCACATGACTGTATAATTTAAACCTCTAAGAATAGAAGGTGAACTTGAATTCCTGCAAAATGCTAAACCAAAGTGAGAAAAAGATATACTCAGAAAAAACTGATTTTTTTTTTTTTTTTTACGTACACTTAGCAGAATTTCTTTTGGGTCTCTCTCTAACATAGTGAAGAGAAAATCTGTTTTAAGACTTAACCAAATGGGAATGAATCTTATCACTGAAGTACATTAAAAATTCCAGATAATTTCCTCCTCATCCACAAGTGTCATCTTACCTCCAGAACTGGTTGTTGTCGTTGCTGTTGTGGTCGCTGCAGCTGCGGCCACTGCTGAAGGCTGAGGAGCCCCGGTACTAGCTGCATGGGGAGGGTCAACCACAGCCTGACTTTCTCTATCTCCAGGGATTCCCTACAACACAATTTCCAAGCTTTGAGACATCTCACCAAAGAAATAAGGCTAAATATTATACACAGCAAAACATTTACATTTTACTTAATATCACTGCCTAGTTTCTAAAAGTATAAAATATAAGCTTCTTTCACTTTAACTAGAGATTCATACAGACTAGAAATAGCCCAGGTATGACATAGAATTCAATGCTGCACAAGGCACCACTGTCATGTAACATAAGTTTCCACAATGATGGAATGTTCTCTACTTGTGCCATTCAATAACACAACCACTACCATGTCTAATTAAAAATTTAAAGTACTGATATATGCCTCACTAAAACCACATAAATACAACTAAGGGTTTTACTCTACATGTTGCCCTAGGTGACTTTTTACTGCTCATAAGCTCTCATAAGCTACTGTTCGCTGAGCAACATAATGGACTGCATTTGTAATTTTAGCCTTAAGACAAGACCACTCAAAGACAAGAGGGCTGATGGTTCCGAAATGATTCTTTTAAAAAATATTTTATTCTTTTTATTTTGTATGTGCATAAGTGTACTGCCTGTTTGTGTGTAAGTGCACCCATGTCATACAATGCGTGCAGAGGTCAGAAGAGGGTGAGATATTCCCCGGAACTGGATTTACAGAAGGTTGTTAGCTGCCATGTGGACACTGGGAATTGAACTGGGTCCAGCAAGAGCAGCAAGTGCTCTTAACCACTGAGCCATCTCTCCAGCCCCCACATGAATGTTTTTAAAGAAACCTTTAGAGTTTACAACTGGATAGTAGGTGGTAAGTAGTTCTATTTCCTATTAAACCAGAAACTCTATGATGATGAACAAGTAATAGAGTAATAGGGTGGCTGCCTGTTTTTGAACACCACAGGCAGTGGAAACAGTTGTTTCTGCTGAGATCATTACTAAAATTACGCGCTTGGATAAGAAGTTACTGAATACTAACAGAATATATACAGATTTACAATACAGAGCTTTCAAAAAATTCTGAAACAAGTTTGTTAAACTCGCCATTGCCTCCTTGCCTGTGATAGTTTATATAAGGATAAATGACCCCATCATTCTACCCATGATTCACTTTTACTTGTTAACTAGTAACAACAGGCAGCCTTCTTTCCATCTATAAAGTAAACACATCAAAACTACTTGAAAATGTTTAACTCATAACTCATCTGTTTGTGTACTTGCACTTGATTCTATAGTACTTTTAAATGCAGAAATTTTAGAAACTGTTTGAGTCAGGGTCTTCCTGTAGCTCTAGCTGGCCTGGAACTTGCTATTTAGACCAGGTTGGCCTTGAACTCAGAGAGATTCCCTTGCATCTGTCTCCCAAATGCTGGAACTGAAGACATGTGCCACCATATCTGGCTAGAAACAGTTTTTAGTATCTCAAAATTTCACATTAGATAAAAATACCTGATACTATTAAACTTAGAATCCTAAATCAGGTGTAAATTACAGCCATTCCATAAAAGGAAGAGCAGCATTTTCATAGAATCTTGTCTGTGGGGAGGTATTCTTCCCAAACAGGGACACAAAAATTCAATTCAGTAAGATTCTTCAGTCCCCAACAAACTGGATACATAAATCAACTGCCAGCATTCCGCACTACTTGAGGATAACAGAAAAGTGAATATCCAGAAAGATGAAGTGGGTGTGATGGTACACAGTCTACTCCCAGTAGTTGGGAGGCTGAAGATTAAGCACAAGCCTTCAGATCAGCTTATCTACTTGAGACCCTGTCTCAAAATAACAAAACAGAAAACAAACAAACACTCCAAAACAACAATCATAAAAGGGTAAAATGATACACTAAGAAAGTCTTAATAGTAACCCCATGTGCATGCACAGGCAAAGAACTGAAGGAGGCAGGACACAGGATCTGACTGTGACCCAGGTTCTCCTGAGCTTAGCTGGCTACTGGAAAGGACTTTCTAACAAAAGTGCACCCTAGAAACAAAGTTACACTATGGGCGACATTCTCCAGTTAGGATTATGGATATCTCAGATGATCTTCAAGACAATTTAAACTTATACTAATTCTCCAAAGACCGAATAACAAAATTTTATGACTAAAAAAGTTGATGCTACGAATAGAATAAAGAAGGTACATGACCTAAAACTGTTCACAAGAGAATTTCTCAGCAGGGCTGCCCAGATAAACTAGAAGGTAAATTTCGAATATATGCTCTAAATAATCCATACAAGATCCTATAGTACTAAAAGCTACTAAAGTTAGTCTATTAGAGTAGAAATATGCCCCCCCCCCCAAACTGGAGTATAAGGCACAATTCGTATTGGGAGCACATTTTATAAATCAGTCATGTCGTTTTCTCATTAAAATGCTATCAGAATCTTTTCCAAAAATAGGTTATTTTATCAACACAAATGTCAACATTCTAGGAAAACCAAAAGCAAATTATCTAGCATACATTATTCTCCATTGAATTGTTAACTCTTTAAAATCTTAAGTTTTTTAGATTTTGATCTAAAAGAAAATGAAGGAAAGGAAAATGTTTCTCACCATGAGAAGATATTCCACAGCTCTGTCAGGGTTGTTGAAACTGGCCCTCAGGGCTGCAATCACCTGCTCTCGTTCATAGCCCATGGACATGATCTCAGTTACCATATTCTCATAAGACTGGCCTGTCACTGAACAGATATGGGGGGGAAGACAAAGGAAAAGTATAGGCACATTCAATGAACATTTTCTCCACATTTCCTGACTACATACACATGTAATGTTTCACATACTACTGTGCTAAACTTTCAAAGACAACAGTATAAATTCAGCATATATGTAGTAAACAGAATAATGTCTTCCTTTACAAAATGTCCATGTTTTAATCCCCAGAATCCATGAGTATATTAGATTATATAACGAAGGGCAATAAGGCTCTTTATCAGCTGACTTTCCAGATGGGGCCGATGTTATTAACAAGGGTTCTTAAAAATAGAAGTGAGGCAGAGGGAGGGCCAGACAGGATGAATGCAAACCACAGGATCAGAAAAGCTCTGTTGTCTTTGTCTTTGAGGGTAGAGAAAAGTCCATAAGCCATGGACACACTGCTATACTGCAAGCTGGAAAGACTAAGGAAATGGATTCTCCCACTCTCCAGAAAGCATACAATCCTGCTGAGCCCTTGGTATCAATCAGTGAGAACAGTGTTCTGACCTACAACAATAAGATAAACTGTTTTATACCACTAAATTTTTGGCAATTTATGGTAGCAACAGAAAACTAGTACACTGTTTTATAAGCACAGCAAAACCATCAGGTACAAACAAGAGAGTATTAGCAGGTCAGGAAAGGCAATCTTTAAAGAAACCACTGAACAAGGCATGGTGGCCTATCCTCATAATCCCACAACTGAAAAGGCTGGAAGTTCAACGACAGGCTGGGATTCACAGTAAGTTCAAGGACAGTATGACATACAAAGCCTTATCTCAAAAGAAACAAAAAAAAAACAAGTTTGCTTTAGCAAACGGGTAGAAGGACACTTCAAGCAATCCTGGTTTAATAAGTTTGCAGGGTTTTTTTTTTTCTTCTTTTAACAACTTTTTTCAAAATGATGGAGAAAAGGTTAGGAAAGTTAAAATTTTATAGTATCCAAGGCTAATGTTATTGGTATTTCACCTGGGTTGCTGCCCATAGGCTTTCCCCAGTCTTCTCTGAGGTACATGTAACTTGTGCTTCACAAAAAACAGTGGATACCATGTAACTGAATAAACACTGCTTCACTCTTAACTCACGTGTTAAAACTACCTTCTTTTCCACTTGCATTCTGGGTACCATTTCCTTTCTTGCCACTCCAAAAAGTGGAGTTGGTTACCATCTCCCTAGCTTTCCTGATCAGCAGCTAAGTATGTACTATATGTCACCCTTAACAAGAGCCCCTTTCCCCCATAGCTACATCCTTTCAGGAACCAGTCCATTTTCTACCACCTCTACAGTCACAGCCATCCACACAGGCTGTGTCCACTTCCTCACATTCCATTCATTCCTCAAGAATGCCAAGAGATTTCCCCTCAAAGGGGTTGGAGAGATGGCTCAGCAGTTAAGAGGAACCAGGTTTGGTTCCCAGCACCCACAATGATGTCAACAACCACCTGCAACTCCAGTTCCAGGGGATCCAACGCCCTCTTCTGATCTCCTGAATGACACGGGTGCCCTTACATTCAGGTAATACACTCATAAACATAAATAATAAAATTTTTAAACATAGGTTTCCCCTCAAAAGCACACCCCTACTGTCTGTCTGCTCCCTTTCAGTAAGTGGCATATCTACCTACCCAAGTATTTGAACAGACTCTTTAGTCTGGATTACACTCTGCCTTGCATCTAAAACCTATTCTTAGCTAGCTACAAATGTGAGCTGTTAAGATACAAACTACACTATCCTTTATGCCCCAGTCCTCGACAATTACACACATCTCCGAAGCATGGCCAGTTCTCCACACCTTCTAAGTTTAAAAAGTGATGGTGTCAGAGAGGTATTTCCTAGCCATTCTAAATAGCCCTTTACTTTAAAAAATTGTGGGTGCTGTCTTCTCAGCATCATTTATTATAATTTGTAATTTATGTTCCATTTTCTTCTTTCCCCTTATGTTAATGCAGGTTCAAATATGCATTGGTTTCACTGACAATATTCACAATTATTCTTCTCTATAAATTTTCAAAAATAAAATTATTTAATAATTTAAAACCTAAACATGGATGTGGTTTGTTTCCCCCAAGGTTTCAAATGTTATGAGGCTTGGTGTCAATAAGATAGGTGGTAGGAGTTTTAAGAGCTCTGGTCCACTGGGAGTTGGCTGGATCACTAGGTAAATTACCCCCAGAAAGGATTAGGTAGTTCTTTCAGAACCCCAAGTTAATTATGTAAGGAGCAATTTGTTATAAAAAGGGCCTCTTTCCACTCTGGTTTCCTTCTTCATTTTTAATTTTATTACTGGGAAGGGAGCTTGTGCTAGAGAATACACAGGGAAATCAGAGGACAACTTATGGGAGTCAGTTCTCTCGTTCTACGTGAGGGACCTGGGGATCAAACTTGGATGGTAGGCCCAATGCCAAGCGCCTCCATTCACTGAGCCATCTTGCTGCCCTCCACTCTGATTTCTTGTCTTACCAACCACTTTCTATCTACTTGTCCCTGTGCTGCCACAAGTCATGAGGACTGCACCAAGGCAGAGCTGAGCGCATGCCAAAAGCCAAGCTTTTCAGCCTCCAGAACCATGAGCTGTTTAAGTCATTTTCTTTTTAAGGACTCAGCTTTGGGTATTTAATCATGGCACCAGAAAACAAATTGATACATGGCCTTTCTCTTCCAATCCCATAAAAAAATTCAATGGTTTCTTATTTTCTTAATTATCCACAGATATAAGTCTAGCCCCAAAACAGAGAAATTAAGGGCTGTGGTGGATCAACCAGAACTATCCTATTTTAACAGGGTAGATCTCACTTAGTCCTCATAATAACCTTATGGGAAAGGTTGCTTTACATCTCATTTTAAAGATAAGGAAACTGCGGCTTGGAGCTTACTTATGTAGCAAGGCAGCAATGGCTGGTAAGTCACAGTGCAGGGATACTCACAGGCTGTCAGAGTCCAGAGTCCCCACACTCAGTAATTATACCACTCTCTGAAATCATGTTTCCTAATTAATCAAATTATGCTAACTGAAATAAGTTATACTAACTGAAAAAAAAATGTTTATAAGCAGCCTGACACATTTTAGATCTTGAAAGCACAAGGGCAAATGACTCAAAAACCTATAAAGAATGGAAAAAAGAAAGTGAAAGAGAATAGATAGGTAGACCCTTACATATCACAAGAATGAGTTTTGAGCCCGACAGCATGACACACTCCTGTAACCTGGAGGCAAAGGATTTCATACTCAAGGCCAGCATGGACTACATTTAGTGAGACCCTCTCTCAAAAGGGAAAAGGAAAAAAAGAATGAGTTGGGGATATCTGAACTAACAACCCCACTGTATTTGCCTTCTACAAAGTCTACCCTAGCAGGAAAGAATGCAGTACAGACCAGAACTAAGGCACCTCAGTGACAGTACAAACAAGTTATTTTAGAGACTTTGGGACTTAGAGACAGGTAATCAGGGATAATGCCAATGTCTAGGTTAAGGGTGAACACCAGTGCAAACAAGTGAAGGAACAAGGGAGAAATTTGTAGAGGCTGCAGGTGTCCCATTTAAATAAGTAAGTCTGGAAGTTCAGGGGGAGATTAGTACCACGATTATAGATCAGGAAATCCTTACAGCAAAGGCACTGCATTTAGCCATTCCCATAGTTTAAACTTTTAACTATGACAGAACCACAGAAAACCTATTAATTAGAGGGTCAGTGTGCTAGACAGCTTTAGTGTCAACTTGATACACCTGGGTCAAGGGATCCTCAACTGTGGAAATGCCTCCACTGAACTGGCCTGTGGCTATGTCTGTGGGGTATTTTCTTGATTGCTCGGTGATGTGGGAGGGCCCAGCCCACTGTGGGCAGTGAAACCCCTGGGCAGGTAGTTCTATTTTGTATAAGAAAGCAGGCTGACCATGGGTCAGGGTAGCAAGCCAGTAAGCAGCATTCTTCTACGACCTTTGCTTCAGCTCTTGCCTCCAGGTTCCTGCCCTAAGTTCCTACCTTGGGCTCCCAGTGATGACTGTGACCTGGGAGATGTAAGCCAAATAGACCCTTTCCTCCCCAAGTTGGTATTGGTCAGTATTTTATCACAGTAATTGAAGGCAAACTAGAAATAGTCAGAAATAACAAAAATTTACTAGAATACCTGAGACAGATGGTCCAAGATATGAACAGCAAGAGGTATAAGGAAAGCCAAATAAGAAAATGTTAAGGCAGCAGGGAATCAAAAGAGCCCAGGTCAATTAAAGACCTTTGAAGAACAGAGAGATCCTGGGACCACAATGCTGAGAAGGAATGATTTAGGATGCATTCCACCTGTCAGCTGTTTGGCCTGCCATACCATAAGCTGCTCTGCTTCCTTTTGTGATAGACTGACCCCTTTGAAACACAAGCAAAACATGGCACACCTTTAAAAAACATGTAAGTTTTAAAACATCAAATCGACATCACCAGAGACTTAGCCATAACACCAACAGCAGCGAGAACCATGATCTACTGGGGCTCCTCTCAATGGCATCAAGGCGTCTAATTGTGGCGACAGCCAGAACCTTTACCAGCATTTAGGGACAAGTGTCGTCAGCTGGCTCTAGCTCTGATACTACAGAACAGCTTACAATTCTATGATTATCTTCAGTCCTTCTACTACCTTTGTAACATTCTCTACAGTTATAGCTTTCCATGTTTGAAGCAGTGTGACCTCAGTCTCATGACTGGATGCTTACTGATACAGTAGGTGGTGGCAAAGTTCAGTAAAAAGTCTCTCAAAGATGGAAATTTGAGTTTAGTACACTCAGGAAATCTTAGGCTGATTAAGTAAACATCTATATGTTGTCACTACAAATCATTCTCCATAAAAATGAAGTTACCAGGGAATTAAAAGACCAACTAGGTCAGAGGACCAACCCCCAACCCTAAGAGGTGTGACTGCTGTTGGAATGCTACTGCTGGAAGTCCCCGTAACCCAGTCAAACAAATGAGTGCACATATTTCCAGCCTTCTGTCCACTATACCAAAATAGGCCCAGGAATACCAGTCACTAAACAATAACCAGCATGAATGGTATCAGATTTAACAATGGGAAGGAAAAAAGCAGATCTGACAGACTAGAGGTAAAGGGAGAGAGACAGCTTTACTTAGGAGGTGAAGCTGAAAGCAGGAAAGAAGGCTTTTTTAGCTCCTTCCCAATACAACAAGCAGAGGCAGATGGAAATCGACAAAGCCGACATGCTGGATGAATAAACAAGTGTAAGGCAATGAAGAAAATGGCTATCTTTTCAAAGACACTTTGTAATAATAGCTACACACAGATCAAACTTGTTAAGTCCACATTTAAATTCACATCTGGAAAATTATCTGCTTCAAAGCAATGTGCTTAAACTGCAAGAGTAAGTTTTAAATAAACCAGTATGTAAAATACTGGTCTTTAGTATTGCAATTAAACTATCTAAATTAATCATTTTAAGGTTGAACTACCATGAAAATTAATGTATTACTGTGATCTAGAAAAGGGAAACTTCACACTTTCAGTCTCTAGTGTGTCATTTGTAAGTTAGATACTTACCAAGTGCACTTGTTGCATCTTCAAAAAGATTTGACCGAGAAGAATCTCCTGTTGTACTGTAAAGGATTTTAGAAAAATCACATTTCAAAAAGTATACAAAATTTAATTTACATTAGTCTAGTAACTAATTTCTAAAGAGATTCTTTTAAGTATTTGGTTAAGGAAAAAATTTCAATCTTCAGACTCCTCCTATTCTTAGAATGTATCATTCTAAATATCAAAAGATATAAAATAATGTCTTTACAGAAAATAAATGTCTTAGTTGAAGAACTCTGAAAAAGATACTATAATTATCATCATTTATAAGTCATGTCAGAGCAGAAGAAATATCAAAAGCAGTACATGATAAATAGCATGTAAAGAAATCAAATGAGTCTGGAAAGTCATTACAGAGTGAGGTTTTATATAGAAGCCGCCAATGATGAAGGGGAAAGGCAGCACTAGAGTTAAGGATACAGCATAGGCAAAAAAGGCGGAGGGGGCTGGAGAGATGGCTCAGCAGTTAAAAGCACTCGCTGCTCTTGCAGAGGACTTGGGTTCAGTTTCTAGCACCCACATGGTGGCTAACATCAGTCTAGGACTCCAGTTCCCTGGAATTCAATTAATGCCTTCTTCTGACCTTGGTAGGTACTGTGCATACGTGGTGCACTTATATACATGCTAGCAGACACTCATACACATACAGTAAAAAAAAAAATCAAAACATATTTTATGGCAGATGGGGGGGGGTGTAGATCTAGTTCTACCTAAAGGAAACCATTTTTTCTTTTAAACTGGGGTAGAATATTAACTAGCATGCTTATGGTCCTGGGTTTACTCTCCAGTATTCCCCCAAATAATTATGTTTCTGTTGTCAAATCAGAGTTAAGTTCAGACTAAAAAACTCACAAATGAGATTACAAAAACACCATGGATATGGACCAAAAAATAAAGTTTACAAAAATGGCAGTGAATACGTAAAATCATGTGTGTGCATATAACAAAGTAGAAGGGAAGCTGTCTAGAGGAACAAAGAGGACAAATGAGAGGGTGACAAAGGAGGAAGGGGGGGATGGGACGGGATCTACTCACTGCACAATAATAATTACTTATAAAAATTAAGTAGCATAAAATAAGCAAAAAATTTAAAGACGCTGCAGAAGTAATTGTCAACTGCATTCCGTACAATGATACCTTTACTCCAATTTTAATTTCTACATTACATTGTAAAATTTCATTTTCTGTGCATGTGTTGACATATGTGCATGCCACTATGCAAGTGGAGTCAGACGACAACTTGCCGAAGTAGGTCTTGTCTTTCTACCACGTGGGCCCCAGGGATCAAACTCGGGTTGTCAGGCTTGGCAGCAAGCACCTCTACCCACTGAACCATCTCATCAGTCCTCATTTCAATTTTAAATACAAAACACAGCTGAGCACGGTGGACCTCCAAGTTCCCCAGTCAGGGTTACACAGTGAGGCGCCACCTCAAAAAAACAAAACACACACATTGTAGTTCAGCTCCCCTAGTAGTAATTAAGGACTGACATCCCAAGTTAAACTTTTTAAGCCTTGGTTCCTTCATCAACAGCTATGAGATCAACAGTATCATATGCTCCAAGGTACTATGGGTACAGTTATTGCTAGTAAGGTACTCAGGAAAGTGTCCAGCATGACACTACCCACTACAATTATCACAATTAAAATAATCCTGTGCTATCATTTTTAAAGTTTCTTCTTAAAAAAGTAAAGTCTGTGGAGAAGGTAAAATTCCAAAATATATAAAAACTTAATTTTCCTGCCCATGACCCTTATCCCCAGAGACAATCACTAACACACAAGTTTCTGTTTAAGAATGGCAGTACCTTGCTTTTGTTTGTGTAGAATTATTATGTTTTTTTAAAACAAGGTCTTGATATAGATTAGGCTGGCCTTAAGCTCATGATCTTCCCGCCTTAGCCTCCCAAGTGTTAGGATTATAGGTATATACCACTATATCCTACTAGTTTATACAGTTTAAGTTAAAAAATTATTTCCTGTCAATACACTGTATCTAATGCAATCACTTTCTCACAGATGTACAGCATTCTACAAATCAAGTTTTATTAAGGAATATGTAGTTTTGTTTCTAGCTTTTATTCTTATTTTTCCCTTGTCCTTCACCTTACACTTAGAAGGCACTTAGAATGGATCTTAAGGGTATATAAGAATCCATACTTCTCCCCCTTCCAGATGGCAAAGCATCTGTTTCAACAGTATTTTCTCACAGGGTCTGATATTATTAATACATCTTTACCTTATACTAAGCTCCTTTTGAGTTGTATGTATGTCTAAGAGTACTGTCTAGTCCACTAAGCAATCTAGCCAATGTGAGCTACTCAAAACTTACTCTCTTCCAGAATAATCTGCTATTTTCACACACTGTTTCTCCCTTAAAGGCAGGGTCTCACTGTGTAGGACTGGCTGGCCTGGAAATCACTATGAAGGCCAGGTTAATCTTGAATTTGTACATTGCTGCTTCTGGCCCTCACACATATCTTTAAAATCCTCTTTAAGTACTTAAGACTGAGGGGTACTTTAACTATCATTCTTTAATCTTGATTCAGCCTCACCACTTCTCCTTTCCAAACCAGAGAAAATTCACTCATCAACGCCAGACCTACTACTCTTTTCCTACACATTAAAAGGCATTATCTGGACCAGAATTTGCAGCTAAGCCTGTTGATCCCGGGCCCCACATGGTGCAAGGAGTGAACCAACTCCCACATGTGCGCCATGGTGAATGCATGTGTACACAAATACATACACAAAATAAGTGCAATAAAAACTTTTAAAAGCTATGCATAGAAAACATGCAATGCTATTTACAGCACCACTCAGGTTACTGCTTATGTTGCTCTGAAGCCTCTTTCACTCAGTGTGGTAACACTCCCACAAACTCAGCATTCAGGAGTCAAAGACAGCACAGAGACCCTGTCTGCGGGAAGGAGTGGGGAAGTCCTAAACCACATTCATTTAATATGCTTATATCCTACACATTTTAATATGAGTTAACAGATGTTCTCAGATTTTAATAAGCCTAATTCACCCAGAAAACTTGTTGAAATACAGATTTCTGGAAATTACCCCCCAAGAATTCATTTCAAACAAACCATGTGAAGTGCTACTGCAGTCTAATGACTATCACGCTTTGGGAAGCACTGCTCTCTACTATGATAAATCGTAGATCAAGTCACTTCCTTGTTTATGGGAATTTAGGTGGACCCTAATCTGTCCCCAATCACCAACAGTACAGACTCCACACACAAGCGTGGTTTCTTTTAGTTATCAACAGCAGAACGTGTACTGTAACAGGTGACTTTTGAAGAACAAAACCAACCAGAAGAAACAAGTCTGGCCAGTGGTGATAGAAAAATTTCCCAGCACTCCATGTATTCACACCAATGGACCTCCTGATATCTACTGACCAAGTTTTGTTAAAGGGCACATATTAAGGGACTAAAGAACAGGCATCTTGGTGTGTTTTTTTAACCTTCTCTCTCATCCTTCCTTAAGGTATACAATTTTGAGAAGACTACACAGTTGGTGTATAAAGACTAAGAAGACTAGGTGTCTGCTTTCCTGGATCACTGGCCACACTTTAACTGACTTATGCAACCCTCTGGAGACATTAAAAAAAAAAGGTTTTGACAATTTCATACACGTATGCATAGGATGTACCTTGATAATATGTACCCCAGTCTCTGCTCCTCCTACTCCCCCCTCCCACCTTCATGTCTTTTTTAATAACCCAGTCTAATTAGCACTGACTGCATACACATGTGTGGGGCCACCCTTTGGGACCTGGACAACTTACCAGTGGCTACAACCCCCCTCCCTCCATTAACAAAAATGACATCTCTTCCCCCAGGAGCCATCAACTGCCAATAGTTCCTCAGCTAGCCTCCGGAGCCCCTCCCCCAACAGTATAGAATGTTGACTGGCTTGTCCTTGTGCAGATCACCACAGCCCCTATGAGTTCACAAGTGCAAAAGGCCATGTCGTGCCCAAAAGACAGTGTTTCTCAACTCATGAAATCCTCCGGCTCCTAATTCTTTACTCTCTCTCTTTCAAGCTGTTTCCCAAGCCTTGGGGTTCGATATACACCCATTTATGGATATACACCCATTTAGGGCTGAACATACAACAGTTATTCTCAGCACTCTGATCAATTATGAGTCTCTGCATTAAATGCTGTCCATTTCAAAAACGAATCACTTTTTGGAGTATAAATAAATAAATA